TTCTACTTGTGTTTGTGTGTGTTTTTTGAGAATGTTGACTTTTTTATTCTCTTTTGGTGTGTTCAATTATAGATTTCTAGGTTAATATGGTTATACCCTCTATGTGTTTGAAGAAATGTCAAGAAGAGTTGTTCTTAATATGTTAAAGAATTGTTAGAATCTATTTCAAAGATTATTTTGGAAATAGTTTCTCGAGATTTCATTATGCACCGGATGGAAGATGAACTTTGAAACTTTGTGGGTTAGTCTTGTTTGTTTTGGGATTCAATTTTATATGCATTATTCCAGTTGGGAAGTGATATTTATGGCCATTATAAGTGCTCTGTGTTGTGCGGGAGTGTATATGGTACATCCGGATGTACCTAGAGATAGGTACATCCATGTAGTACTCATTCGAAGTATAGTAGTACTCATTCTCGCACAAGCATAATGGTTCATTTGAAAAGTGTGGTACACATTTTGAAATAACACAATACTCATTCAGAAATAATGTCGTACTCATTTTTACAAATTTGTTGAATATTCATTTACGAATAACATAATGTTCATTCTAAAACCCGCTAGTACTCATTTCCATATAAACTAGTACTCAATCTTAAATAATCTACCGTTAATGTACCATTCATATGTAGTTTGAAATCTGGTAGGAAGTCCAAGACCATCGCTTGGAAGCAGAATACCATCGTTAACTTTCAGATCGCGGATCACTTCATCGTCCTCCTCCGATCGGACTTTCAAACAACCTTCATCTTCATCGTAATCGCCGGACCTTCATCCGCAAATCGCCGATCGGGAATCCAACTATCGCGCAGCTTCCTTCATGGCCGATCAATTCGCCGGTTCTTGCCCTAATTCCCCCGTTTGCCCTAATTAAATTCCGGCTGTACGGTTCTTCCCGTACAGCCGGATGTACGGTATAATTTGCGGTGTTGTGCTTGGTTGTTCTGTTTTTTACATTTGTACTCCGTAGTACTTTTTTCCTGATAAAAATGCATTATGCCTGGTTGAGTTCACTTATCAATGTGTGTGTGTGTACTTATCTTGTTTGGATAATAACAATAAGCTGCAGAAAGAGTTTTCTTTAAAACCAAAACGATCAAAGAACAAATATATCTGTGGTTGAGTTTTCTTTTACTTATTATCCACTTATCTTGTGTGTGCACTTATTCTTGTTAAATCCAAAACGATCAAAGAACAAATATACCTTGTGTTTTCTTTAAGGGTACTTACATTAAAATGTTTGTTGTGGGTATATGTCATCCTGCTTTTATTTCAGGAAAATATTTTTTGGTTGACTCTGGATTTGCTAATCAACGACAATTTTTAGCACCATTTCGAGGTGTCCAATATCATCTCAAAGATTTTGGAGGTCAAGGTCGTCACCCCCGAAATGCAAATGAGTTGTTCAATCTTCGTCACCACCATTTCAGGACTACACAACTTTCTTCGTAAAGAGTGTCGTTCTGATGAATTTCCTCTAGAACCAGAACTAGAGTCGTCTTCTTCATCATATCTGGACATGGAAGAAGAAAAATTTTGAAATACTTTCTCAAACTCAACAACAACAAAGAACAGAAGCTAACGCTTGGAGACATGGCATTGCTAACGCTATGTGGGGTGATCGACCACAAAATGATGCTAATGAGGAGAATGAAGAAGGTTTTAATGATAATGAAGTTGAAATGGAAGACTCTGTTGTTTAAAAATATTATTTTTCAATTATCTTTAAATTTTAGATAATCTCTTCTTTTGTATTTTTTTTATTTTCATTGATGAACTAGACATACAAGAAGAATGGTTGAGAGACAATAACCGTTTTAGTTGTAAAAATAAATTTATTGCTTATGGCATTGAGCACTACACGTAGTATTATTTTATTCTAACAAACATATTATGATGATGAAAAAGTTTTTAAAAAATAATTTATTTTTATTTTATTATAATCTTCTCAAAATTTTTAATAGCTAATTACAATAGTTGATGTTACAATAATGTATAATTTTATAAAGTAATTCTTATTTATGTATAAATAATATATGGATTATAAACAATCAGACATATAATCCTATAAAACCCTGCTGATAAAATACATTAAAATCTAACAAACTTTGCTTAGACTTAAAATAATCCAGGGATTTTACATAATTCATAAACTTTAAATAATGTATCGAAATCTTTCAGAATCGTGATTGAATACACCCCCTAAATCTAATACGGAGTAGATGGATAGGCTACAATAATTTAGGGATGGAGGAGTACAATAAACGCGGGTTGAGAGTGACCATCCATGATTCACAATTGACTCCACTTTTCCCAAATCAAGCTTCAAATCAAATGGTACACCAAATAATCTGTGTAGGGCATGGCCGTGTCGAGTTTGACCAAGCATATCCCAAGTAGACATTTGTGGCTGGTCCAAACACTCCTTCCCAGTCCCCCCCTGAGGCTTGATGGCGAAACATGGTGGCTGGTCCAAACATTTTTTTATACTCCTGCGTTTTTGCCAATTGGAAAAATATGAAAGTAAGGCTAAATTAATTAAGCATTAGTGAAATTTGCACTAAATAGAACTAAAATATAATGACTTTCCTAATGCAGGACTTAAACTTTTTTATTTCTTAAATAGGACTTAATAATGACCTAGTGGGAGGAATAATGTCCAGTGATGCTAGACATTTACTTGAATAATGACTACTTGATAATGACCAAAAGTCCTACATTGGAAAATAAAAACATATGGTCCTATATTGGGAAAGTCATTATGTTTTAGTCCTATTTAGGTAAATTTTTCTAAGCATTATGCAATACTCTTTTACAAAAAAAATATAGAATTTTGTTTCGAGAGGAGGTAAATTAGATTTTAATACTAATTGGTAAAAAAAAAGTATAGCGTGTAATTGATATTTGTAGAGATTTTATATTAGAAATCATCCTAAATAAGACTAAAACATAGAGAAAAGTACCAAAATAGGACATTCATGTTTTTTTCTTGAAATAGGACTTTGCACTGTGGTAATGTGACTTTGCCCTGTTTGAAATGTGGCAGTATACATGTGCAAATTACTATACTTTTTTGGTAATGTATATGACCTTGTATAATAATGTAAATCCTATTTCGGGAATAAAAACATGGAAGTCCTATTTTGATATATTTTAAATGTTTTAGTCCTACTTTGGTTTTCTCCCATTATATATTTGGTAGAGTTGTTTTAGTGTGTAAATATCAAGAATTGAATTCTGAGTATACCCTCTGAATATTCGTTGTTTTGCCAAGTGCACCATACTCTTTTACACTTTCATATCAAAAGACAAAATGAAATGCAAATCATAAATCAAATGTTGATATTTGAGTACTAAATTAAAAGGTGAAATCCAAATCATAAATCAATTAACCAGCACACTTCCAAAGCTCATTTCTACTAGTACATGGGATTAGAATACAATGAGGACTCAAATCAGACTTGGTGAGGACTGTCTAGCTTCTTTTTTTTTTTTCTCAAATACCAAGCCTAAAATCATGAAAACAACATAGCCTAAAATCATTACATCATACCCACCTCCTAAGATCAGTGGTTGAACAAGGAGAAATTTCCCCAACCCCAATGCTATCAGTGTTTGAGAACTGCCCCATCCCCACACACCACCCTGTTTGGACACTCTTGAAGCTGGGGCTCCTAAGGTTCTGGCTGAAGCTCCTCGCGTCGGCATTCGTCAGAGACGACTCCGACGCGAGGTACGACAGCCGTTTCTTTGCCGACCCGGTCCCGCGCTCCCTCTCGGGGGTGGGAGGCCTTTGCCGGGGGGCGCTCTGGGACCGGACCCGAGCCTTTGCAGACTCGGTGGCGGCCATGTAGTTCGGCACCGAAGCGCTATTAGACGAGGTGCTGAAGCGGGACCCGGTGCGCAGGCACGGGGTGTTGGCGGTCGAGTAGCATTTCTCGAGACGCCTCGGGCTCGTTGCCCGGACCTGGACCTGCTTCGGCTTGCTCGGAGACGGAGTCGCCGGCGGCAGAACCGCCGCGGGTCTCCGGCGACTCGGCGGCGGCGGCGGAGGAGATTGCTGCTTGTAGTGGTGGTGCGATCTCCTGCCCCCACTCGGAGGAACCGCGTAGGAATACGGCAATGCGGTGTCGATCTCCACCGTCTTCACCGGATCCCGCCATTGTTTGGATGACATCCATTCCTCCAGCCAGTTCCCTCCTCTTTCATCTCCCTCATGCTCTGTTTCTGAGCTCCATCCCTAATGTTGGAAAAATTAGCTCTTATTCAGAAAGACTCTGATACCATATCAAAGAACGACTCAACGAAAAGATTCAAAAACCTGTTGTGGGAGAGAATGAAGCAATGATCTCTCTTTTCTGGCCTGCAACATTTCTTCGAGCTCTTCAAGTGTTCTTGGGCAGTCCCTCCAGTCATCGGCGATGGAGCTTCCATCTCTGGACTGCAACGAAAACAGGGGATTTGGTTACTCTGTTCTTTTCTCGAATTTTTCAACCCAGAGGGTACCAAATATATATGGCTCACCAGTGACATCCTCTCCGGAATATACTTAGATTCCCATGTGTTGCCGGCTTCGGATTTCCGGCCGCCGTCGTGGGAGAGGCGGGCACGCTGTTGGCGAACCCGAGCCTGCACCCGAAGCAGAGCCTGCATGCATCTCAGGGTCATCTTTGCTTGCTTTCGAACATTCTGGCCCCTTATCAAAGCCTGAAGCTTCACAATCCCCTTCAGAGCAACAAGAGCTCTCCTGGCCTGCAAAACAAAGAACACATTTTCTATTTGTAATTGAAACACATTACTGTGGGAATAAGAAGATGGGAACACATTATAGAGGAGGGTTAATTAATTAATTACTAAATAGCCGCGGAAGGCAGTTTGAATGGCGGTTGCGGCGGAGTGTAGCCGGGTCAGAGGCGGTGGGTTGGTGGAAGGCCGTGTCAGCCGGATAATCTCCGCTGCTGCTTGCGCTGTGGCCACGGCGGCTTCGGCCGCCGCAGCAGTGGCGGCAGCCACCGCAATGGCGTGCTTTGACTTGTTCGCCACCCTGTCTGGCTGAGGTCTCCTGAACAACCATCTCCCCTTTTCTCTTTTCTAATCAAAGATCAACGCAACCAACCAACCATTAACAACTTAACACACACACACACCCACACATATAGGCATTGGATTAATTGATTGCTTACCTTTTCTTCATCTTCTTCGCCATCATCATGCTGCTGATCTTTCCTTCTGCTACCCTTTTTATCAATGTTTCGGCTGTCCTTAGTGGGAGGCCTGAAGGCTCTTTTTACTGCTGTGAACCATGAAGTTCCTCCCAGCATCTTTCCCATGGATATGATATTGAGCAATATAATGTAATAATGGTGCGTGTTTCCTTAATTACTCCGTAGTTTCTAGCTGCACTACCTCATAGCTCCTAAACATGGGAGAGTGAAAAGAAGATATTATCCTTTTTTATATACTGCTGCCCAGGGGCGGACCTAGGGTGGTTGCAGTGGGGTCACTTGCACCCACTCTAAAAAAAATTATTTATTAGTAGTAGTATATAATTAGATATTATATGTAGACTAAGGGCATCCAAGGAGAGTATATTTATATGTGATTAGGTGCTATTTTTTTGAAAATGAAAGAGATGACACATTCTATAGTTGTGTAGAATTTTATGTTTTAATTCTTTTAGATTTGGAAAATTGATTTACCTTTCATTATGAAACTTAATTATAAAATGTTCAATTTTTTTTGAAATGTATGAACAAGTTTAATTGTTTTAAAAAGATTCCTAAGATATACTTAGTATTTGAAGAAATGTCTAGAATTACTACTTTAGTTCTTTAATTTTTTTGGTTAAAACAATGAGCGTATTTTATTTTTATACCGTATTTCAAAAATATTGCATATAATTCACTATATTAATCCCAGAATGCTATTTATTAATATTTTTTTACCTTTAAGGTTTTAAATTTATTGTTATACAAATATCAACATTTTTTTTGTGCACAAAATGTGAACCCACTCCCCGAAATTCTTGGGTCCGCCACTACTGCTGCCTCCATGGCTCCACCTCGCTCAATACTAGTCACCCATTAAATCTCTAGACAAACTTTTAAAAAATTGAAATTAAAAAAAAAAAAGATAAGCTCCGTCCCCGAAGATTCTCTCAGATCTGGCCAGTCACTAAAAAGAGGTAATAGAAATCAACTTAAATAGGACTGAAACATAGAGAAAAGTATTAAAATAATACTTTCATATTTTTTTCCCGAAATAAGACAATACGTGTACACATTAATATACTTTTTTGGTAATGTACATGACTATGTTTGGTAATGTAAGTCCTATTTCGGAAATAAAAAAATAGAAGTCCTATTTTGGTATATTTTCAATTTTTAAACTTTTAGTCCTACTTTGGTCTTTCTCCCAAAGGTAATTGGACTTTGATTGCAAATTAGTGGCAAAGAGTGATGTCTATGAATCTAAACAATCTATAAGAATGTTTTAAAATCTAAATCGAATACACCCCCTTAGTATACTCCCTCCATCCATAAATAAAGTTTCCATTGCGCATTACGATGTTTGACTAAAATTAGTTTCAAATCATTTTATATGAAAAGTGGTATGAAATTAAAATATAAAAGTACATGAAAAAATCTAAAAAACTAGAGGTGACATGACTATATTAAATTATCAAATAAGATACAAAAATAGGCCAATAAAGTGAATAAAATTTGATCTTGTGGATAGTAAACAAAAACTTTATTGTTGAATGATGGGAGTAGTTAGAAAGTGAGGTCTATTTTTCAAAATCACATGGAGAATATGGTCATTCTTTATTGTCGTTGTCAAGAATTAAACTCAAATTTATCCCCTCTCAAGAAAAGGAATGAGAAGAAAACACAACGGGAAGATAAACTTATTTAAATGACAACTTTGCCCTTACATTTCTTTGATACAAAAAATGTATTTTATTTTAGTGCAATTTGCACTAAATATGACTAAAACATAACTCATTTCCTAGTATAGAACATAAACTATTTTATTCTCTAAATAGGATTAAATAATGTCTAATGGGAGGAATAATGTCCAATAATGCTGGACATTTACTTGAATAATGACTACTAGATAATGACCAATGGTCATAGATTGAGAAACAAAAACATATAATCCTATATTTAAAAAGTCATTATGTTTTAGTTCTATTTATAAAAATTCCTCTTTATTTGAATCGTAGCATATTTTCTTTCTACCTACTTTATGAAAGAAAATGCCACTTTTCTCTTCTTCGTAGTTTTTCTTCATTTTCAATTAATCAAAACAATCATATTTTCTTTTAATTCATCTTCATTTTATTTTCTCCTTACCCCCAAACAAGCCATTAAGCTAAGCCACTCCGGGTAAAAGCAGCCGTTCTCTTTGATGAGTAAATAAGATACTCCGTATAAGAGCACTGGTAATACGTTTGAAGCCCCGGGGCTTCAAACCGGGGCTTCAAACTTTCTTTCTCTGTCACGTCAGCTTTAACTTACACCCAAAATTCACTGGAAATGGGTTTGAAGCCCCGGGGCTTCAAACTGGGGCTTCAAACCTTCATTTTTTACATTTTTAAATATACATCTTCTAAAATTAAATTAATAAATTTAAATTAATTTATTATTTAATTAAATTGAAACACGAATAATAAAAAAAATACATTAATTAAATAAAAAAGCGACAATAATTTTAAAAAAAAAGATACATTAATAAAAAAACTAAGGTAAATTATATTTCTCCTTGATCTCTCTCATCGCGGCATCGACGGGCGGGAGATCGTCGGGAAAGAAGCCGGAGCCGGAAGGATTCATGTTGAAAATTGGGAGGGGGGGTTTGAATTTTGAAATTTAAAAATAAAAAAGAAGATGAGATTGAAGAGAAGGTGTGAGAGATTGGTTGGGGAGGGTTGAATTTATAGGAATTTTTTTTTTATTTTTAAAATGGGTTGCAACGGCTAAAAAAGCCGTTAGGAGGGAGCCCGAGAAGATTCACGCCGCGTCAAACGAATGACGCGGGACTCCTCACGCCCCTTTAACGCCGGCGGGGGGCGGTGTTTCACCCCCGGGGCGTTAAACGCCCCGTAACGCCGGTGGGCGTGAGGAGTATACCTAGTGCTCTAAGTTTTGATATCTTTAGATATTAGAATTCTTTATGGGTGTTTGGTGAAACCAAAATAGATATCAAATTCAATATACCCAGATATCATAAATACTTCAAATGGAAGGTTTCGATATCTTCCTAGGGGAGTTTGATATCTCTCTCAACCATTGATCATTTTCCGTCATCGGTAACCATTGTCATCACCAACCATTCCTGTTATTGGTCACCCCTACTTATCAGTAATTAAAGCATAATTTTAAATCTTTCCAAATAAATTAATTTCAAATTTCAAAATCCATATCATTTTTCCCAAATTTCATAATTCATATCGTATCACATGTGCAAAACTCCTTAATCTTTATCCCTATAGCACGGCCGTGGATAAAGAACAAATTTACTCTCTTTTACTTGTGAGTAGGTTAGGACATTTATATCCGTTTTCCTCATTATTAAAACCCACCCAGAAACACAAAACAATCACCACAACTCCACCCCCAAAAGGGTAGTTTACTGTAGTCAATGGTGTACTGTAATTGTCAGTTGCCCAACCTTGGGAAAGAAAATTTATACTTGAAAAAAAGTGAAATCTAGGGGTAAAAATGTAATGAGCCTCACTCACCATTAGGTCACGGTGCAGAAGAGAGATGCCCTTGGTAGAAATACTGTAATTCCTTTTCTTGTTGTAATATTACTCCCTCCGTCCCGCTATATTCGTCCACTTTTGACTTATGGAACTGTTCATCTAAGCACTTTGACTCATCAAATTCTCTCAATGTGTAAGCCTAAATATAGTCATGCGTGATCTTGTTTGATTTGTCTTAACATGTAGATTATTAATATATAATTTCTATAATTTTTTAATATATACAAGATAAAATGAATTAAAGAAGTGTATTGGATGGTGTACAAAAATGAAAGTGGACAAATATAATGGGACGGAGGGAGGAAGTACTATCCACCAAAAGGCTCTCTGATGAAAAACTGTCAAGATTCCTGCGTCATCATTGAGTTTTGGGCAAACTCAAGGAGAGCTTTGCGTCAAGATGTCAATCCCATTTCTGGCAACAAATTGTCTTCACTTGCTTATGCTTTCAAGGTTGGAAAATACTAGGAGTACACCAAAAGTGTATTTCAAACAATACCCACCCCCTCCATCACCACACAAAAAAGGCAAGAAAATTTCAAAAAAAAGTAAAAAATAAAAAGAAAATAAAATGAATGGTGTGGAGGCAAGTGGTGTACATTTGGGATACACCTTTGGTGTACCCCTAGCATATCCCTTCAGGTTTTCATCAATGTGATTCTCTGTCCATCCATTCTTTTCATTTCTCACAACTTCTCATACTCCATTTAACCCTTTTATCATGGGAGATGCTAGGGGTACACCTTATCCCATTTGTCTTTCACCCCCTCCATAACCACTCATTTGTATTTAATTTTTATTTACTTATTTTTTTAATTTTCTTACCTATTTGAGTGGTTATGGAGGGGGTGGGGGACAAATGGGGAACACCTTTGGTGTACCCCTAGCATTTTCCTTTTATCATTGGTACTACTTTGAGTGTAATCGTTCAGTTTGATTTTTTCCGGTTCAAACTAAACGATCTCTAAATCTCAATTGAATAACAACAACAACAACAATAACCAGTTAAATCCCACAAGAGTAGGGTCTGGGGAGGGTGTGTGTACGCAGACCTTGCCCCTACTCGAAAGTAGAGAGGCTGTTTCCAAAGAGACCCCCGGCTCAATGTCGAAAGTTGCATTGCTTGACTAACTCCTACTTCATTAATTAAAGAAGCGCAGATAGTTTAGAGATCCATTTTAATTTATTCCATCACACCCCAAAGCCAAAAAAATGGTGAAATTTTGACTCCATCGGAGATGATGGAAAAAATTAGATTTACTTTGTAAAAAACTTTCAAGATTGTATTTCATAATGAAAAATTTGCTCAATGTAAGACTAAAAGATAGTATGTGTTTTTGAATAAGACCAAGCCTCTTTGTTCCCTTTATGGAAAATAATTCCATATGATCTGACATATATGCCTTCATTAACAACAAGTATTGTATAATTATTAGATAATGACAGTTTATACGAATGATTTTATGAATGTTGTCATTAACAAGTATTGGATAACGACTGATTATTTCAATAACTATTCAAATCGTTTTTAATAATATATTGTTCTACTTGAATTATGTAATTAGTCATTTTTATTGATAAAAAAAAGTCTTGGAATCTTCACTTCACTTCAAAAACTCTGCATAGGGGCAAGCGTTGAATTTTATCGTCGAAAGTT